GGTGACAGGTGCACAACAATGTGAATGTATTTAATGCCACAGAACCGTTTGCTTAAAAATGGTAAATTTTATGATATGTATATTCAACTATAATTTTAAAAAATCAAATGTATCCTTTTACCTTTCTGTCTATTGTTCTCTTCTATTTTATCCAAAGGCAACCCTTTCACTGCAACATCTTTATAAAAACCCTTTGGGATATGAAAGGAAGAAATAAAAGGCTAAATAAACGTTATGATTTATTACTTATCAAGTACTATTTACTAGCCATGTGACTACTATATTTCGGGATTGCAGGACTGTATGCTTTATATACTTAATTCCCATCACCACCAGAATGCTTAGGTACCTTGAAGCTACTCAAGGATTTGTTGAATGAGTAGTAAGCTGTCAGACAATGAGTAAGTTAACAAGCAAGCAACTATGGCCCTGAAATTCACACTCATATCCCAATTTGCCACTTCTAGCAGAGGGCGTTGTATAACATCTCAGTTGCTACAGTTAAATGTGAAAACCTGATTCACTGTGAGTCTGATGGAGAACATAAGGATGGCCAGTGCATGGTACAAAATCACAAATTTACCAAAACAGTCTTTGTCACTGAACTCATAATGTCATATCAGAAGGCTTCTCTATATAAGTCATACCTACTGACAAATAGCTTTCTGTTCATTTGTAGATTATATTCAGGGGTAAGACACAATGATTTAAAGTACTAGATTCATTCAATGTTCTATTCAATTGCCTTAGACACACCTTTTCTTTTTTTCTGCTACATCGGAAAAGAGGAAATCATAAAAGAAAACTGATCCAGGCTATTGACGGATAACAAGTGTTAACTTCCCCCCAAAAAAGCCAGTGAAACTAATAACACAGAAGGCATCTGGGAAATTAATATAAACTACTCCTACAAATTGGTAAGAAAAAGCACAGCACATCAATATGTAATTCACAAAAGAATAAATATAGATGGCCACATACATTAAAAAAATTTTCTACTTCATTAATAATAAAAGAAATAGAAAATAAAACAATGAGATGCCTTTTACATGTAAAATGGCAAAGACTTTTTGTTTAATTTTAATGCTCTGTATTCATGAATGGGGAGAGAATTCCAGTAATGGCCTTGCTGGAGAGAATATATATTAATAAAGTCTTTCTGGAGGCAATTTAGAAATGTTTCAGACGTGTGCATGTCCGTTGATCTAATAATTTTACATCTAGAAATTAATCTTAAGGATATGACCCATGATATACACCAGAATGTTCATCACATGGTTGTTTACATTATAAAAATTTAATGTCAAATGATAGGAATATGAACAAATAAACAATGGTACATACATACAATTAAATTCTATAAACCCATTAAAAGTTTCTAGAAAAAAATGACAGAAAAATATTCTTAACACTACTTAGAAAAAATATCCTTAATGCTATTTAGTTATAAAATAGTATGGTCCCATCTCCTAATATATACCCACACATAGGGGGAAAAAACTCTCAAAATGTTAATAGTTATTGATTTTAAGTCATAGAAGTTCTTTTTTCTTTTTGTATTTTCTACAATGAACTTTCTTAACTTTTTATTTTCTTTCTATACATATGTAAGGATTAGCCCCAAACAGGAAAAGGAACATCTTATCTTCTGGTAGTAGGGAGAAATAGATGTGAAACGGAGCATTTTTAAATGTGAGCATTATCAGGTACAAACTCCTTCAGTTTTCTAATTAAAATAGGATGGCCAAGTCAATCCACACTATAATCTTAGTACTCACTTATGAAACAAAAACATGATGCAAAGAGATAGCAGTCTGTGTTCATGATAAAATGATAAAGAACTAGGTTTGTTTTGCAGGCATATTTTACATTAGACAAATCTACACAAAACAAGCTGTGAGCCCATATTAAATGTAATGGAATCCTGCCTGATCATCTTTATGACAAATGTTACCCATTTATCCTCAAACATACATAAATAGTTTTCCATACATTCAGGAAATTATTTAGATAATGAAATTCAAATAGCATTAATCATTAAATAAGTCCTGCTCAAAAAAGAAACAGAAAACACCAGCCCAAAGGCTAGGCATTTGCTCAGGGATCAAGTATGGTGCGCAATGATACATTTTTACTGGGAGTTTTTGAGAAAATTGACAATAGCTTCAACCTAATTCTTAGTTTACCAGCCTCAATTTTCAAACTATTGTGAAAAAACTCGAGGACACAAACAACAATGTGGTGATTGCGGGAGGGGTGGAGGTGGAGGAAGGCATACGGGGGATAAAAGGTGATGGGCTGAGACTTTGACTTGGGGTGGTAAATACACAATACAGTGTACAGATGACGTGTTGTAGAGTTGTGCACCTGAAACCTGTATAGTTTTGCTAACATGTGTCGCCCCAATAAATTCAATAAAAAGGGGGAAAAAATCCCAAAATATTGTGAAACTCTCCTTTATAGACTTGTTAAATTGACAATACATAGGTCAACATTATGATTACTGATCAAAGTCTAATTGGACTGCATCACCAACACATTATATTTATCATCAAATATTTTTATCATTATAAAAAGGGTAACATGAAAATTTCATGTTTTTGTTTCTTAAAGACCCCTCAAGAAAATACCCACAAAAGACCTCATAATAGTTTGTCTGATGTATAATCACACTCACATTTTTTACTATGTTATTTTTCCTTACATTTACATAATGCTTCTTGTTTAGAATACCTTTTCCTTAGATAATAGCAGAGCTGTTTTTTTCAATTACACTATTTGACCTTCCCAAGGTCATTATCTTACTAATGGATATTTTTGATTCTATGGAAGGCTTTTTCGCTAATGTCTCAAACACTATTTAAATCACAATTGTTGTATGTCAAACATTTCTCTTGGTAAGTGAAATTTAAAAACAAGGCTTGCTGCTAATCAAACATAATTTAAGAATACATTATTTGACAATACTGAAAATTTCAACATCAGCATAATTAAGAATCCTTTTGCTTACACTTTCTGACACAGGGGGGTTTTCTAATGGAGGCTGGTAATCATTTCTAGCAGAAGCTAAGTCTGATGAACCTACCAAAACAAAGAAACCAATTTTAATGATTTTTCAAATCAGAACATTACATGCAGAAACTGTACAGGCATGACTCAAGAGCTACTAGTATATATAAACTCCATATGAATGCAAGACCGAAATTGGAAGCCACATTTCATGAAAAAAAAAAAAAACTTAGGAAAAATGAGATTTTACAACTCATATCTTGGAAAATATGGGTCAATATTGACAAGCAAGTGAGATACCTATAAAATGGCTTAAAGTGTATCATTACTCTGTTAGATTTGGACAAACTAGGGCAGAATCACTTGCCAGGAATAAAATACGTATATGATATAAAAGCCTGATTTAACAGCAGGCATATGATATGCTGTACCAACCAAAAAGCAACATTATAAAAGCACCTTTTTTTGTTTTTGCACATATATCCATTAACTTAATCCTTACAATTGCCCATGAATTGGATAAAGCATATGTCATCTTCATTTTCACTGAGGTTAAGTGAATTGAAATGTGAAAGCCATCAAATGGCATAAGTTGTGTTTTTCTACTACGCCAAACTGACTATCATAATCCAAACATCAGGTAGAGTATTTGGTAAAAAGCCCCAGCAGTGAAAAATAAGCTCAGCATACAAATTAAGTATGTCCATCAGAGATGGAACTGGCAGAGTATACAAAAGCCACACAAAGAAAAAACACAATAGGAAATGTTCAAGTTTCATTCATTCTATCCATTCAGTACTATTGGATGCAGGCTATACCTGGCCATTTTCCCAGGGAACATAGTCAGTTTTTGACACCTGTACAAACTAAACATCTCACATTTGTGGATTTAAACATTAAGAATCCTCTAAATTTTGAAACACACACGCAAAAAAAAAAGCAATAAAAAGACTAAAAATTTACAAAAGTGAAAAGTTGAAAAACTATGTGGAATCACATACCACGTAACGTTCCATTCAAGCTAGTCCCCGTTCTAAAAGGAAGGTGTTTGTTTGCCGACAACGCCGGAGCAACACAGGACAGCTCGTCTTTCAGCAAAGCCAAATTCTCTCCCTGGTTTGGAGAAGCTACCTCCCGAAGCCTCTTCGCTGGTATTTTAACCCTTCTTTTCTTTTCCGGGCTATACTCGGAGCCTTTCATATTATTGGCAACAAAACTAGTCTCGAAATTCTATAGCAGAACTTTCTTCTGGGTCCATAAAACTGCAGAACAAAATTTTCACCGCTTTGAAGACTGGGGAGGAGGTGGGGTTAAGAAGCGCGCGGGGGGCGGGGATGATAAAGAAAACGTGAATTTTAAGTGATTCTGAAATATGCAGTCACCAACTTTTAAATTAAACAATGTCTAAACAGACTAGTCACAAAGCTAGAAATTTTGGTACTTAATGCAGCATAAAGACTAGAACCTTTTTACCCATTAATCCCACTCAGTCTACAAATGCACCATGCCATGAATCTTAAACACTGAGATGACAAGATAATGACTGCATGAGCATAACAACCACCACAATAACAGTGCATTCTCCAGCCCGAGTTGGCAAGACAAAATCAAACAGATGTAGAGGCGGAGTTAAGATTTGCTGGGAGGATGGAGTCAAGCAGGTAAAACCCAAGTGCTATTTTTTTTAATTCCCCACGTAAGAAGCTTAATAGCATTATTCAGCCAATGAGTCTTACACATCCCTCCAGTTGCAAACACCGGACGCCTAAACTCACGCCTCCGAGTCTCCGGAACGCCAGGCAGTCTCACAGCCACAGGTCTCATCGGACAACACCTTCAGTTGCCCGCGGGTAAACACCCACTTCCTTGTAAACCGCCCCCCCCCCCGCCGAGACACAACACGCATGCGCGCCTAGAATATTGTCCGAAACAGCCAACCAAAAGGTTCAATGCTCCCGGGTGCTCCTTCATCCCATTCCGGGTGGAAACAAACCCCCAACGTAAAAGGCTTAAAACAGGTGTGGATCGTTTTAAGGCAGTACATTGCCCCAAAGGATTTAAATATTGGATAAAACCCAAGAGACTCGTTGAAGACCTGAAGCGCTCCCGAACTAACTGGTAATACCACTCGCACGCATTAGGGAATGTTTACAGCGTAGCTCCTGGAGACCGTTAGGGACGCAAAGTAAATTAGTCTTTCAAACAGTTTCGGCTGATTCGGGTTAGTTAATGGCAAGGAAATCAGGAGCAGGGAGCATTGTCTAAGGAGACAATCACAAAAATTAATTCTCAGAGGATTTCGGAGTTATAGGGTCATATCGGATTTTTTTTTTTCCTCTTAAGTTCCCCTCGTTATACGAATCGGCGTCCAAGGATCTAAGGGCTATTTGACATCACCGCTCCCACGTGTTCTGCATCCAGCGGCGGCGGCACCCGCCGTGACCCCGACCCTCCGCCCCCGGACTCGACTGGCAGCGCAGTCCCCCCAGCCTCGTACTGTTGTCGGAAGCGAGAGCCTGTGCTTAAGTATGACCTCTTTCTCTGCCCTCGGAATCCCGGGTTCCCGGGCGGGGGGCGGCAGGCTACGCTCCGGAAAGGCGGTGGGTCTCTGAACGAGGCCGCCGCATCATGGTGGGCTGCGGGGGGCTGCGGAGCCGGGCAGCGGGTCCTGCTGTCCCTGAGCGGGTTTGAGACCTGCCTGACGTCCGTGTCACTGGGGCGAGGGCCGTAATTGGAGGCTCCGAGGCACATCAGACTGGGCTGCAGCAGTCGGGGTCTCGGTCTGAGACAGTGCGAGTCAGGCTGGAAGGCACCCTCGCCTTGACCTTGAGCTAACAGGCAGGAGACCCCCCTTTAACTGAACCGCCCTCCCTGGACACAAAACAGGCCCAGCACCTTTATCTGATCTGCTCGTTTTCAAGGACGCACTATTTGGACGTTCCCCTTTACTCATTACTAAAGGCTTTAGAAAAAGGTGAATCAAAGCCAAACAATGTAATCTGATGTAAAAGCTAAATAACACATTTTTTTAAAAAAATTTTTACAGTTCAGCTTTCATAGAAGAAATCCTAGAATTAAATTTGGGCCTTAGGGTCTTGGCTTTGAAGAACCTTTTAATTATTCTTAGCAAAATATTATGTCTTATTCCAGTTACATTTCCCTCTTCATTCCTGGGCTCACGGGTAGTACTTGCTTGTTCACGATTTGTTTTAGGGAAAATTAAAAGAGAAAGCGACAGTGTCAGAGCTTTGGAGATTATTTAATTCCCTTATTTTCTAAATGTAACTTAGATGTGAAAATAAAGTAACCTTTCCCCTCTAGTCTCTAAAGTGTGACCATAAGCAGTCATTACAAGTTGAATTGGTTTGAAACCCAAGAAGTCTTGGCCCCCTCCCCCCATCTAGTCCAGTGCTCAGAGGATTATACTTTAAGTCTGGAGGCCAACCTTTAAACCCGAAAGCAATAGACGTAATCTTTCAGAAGAATTTTTGTGGGAGTGGTGTGGCATATAGCAAGAATTTTCTGCTCTGATTAATAAGTTGCCATTTAATCAGACAGTAACTTCCTAAACCTGCTGCAGATAATCTAAAGGAAAGGGACATGTGGTCGAGTCCCGTTAAAGCCTATCATCCGAACAGGTTAGTTCAGATCAATTTAAACATCTGACCTATCAAATAAAAGACACGGATGGCCCTGGGACAAAAAATATGGTTCACAAGATTGTGGGTTTTTTTTATTGTTATAATATTATTAATATTTTTACTTATTTGCTATCTCTTTTCCACTCTCTCTATATACATAGATACAGTACTCTTTTGCTGAACCATTGCAAGGAAGTTGCAGACATCATGACCTTTAACTCTAATTTCTTCAGCATGAATCACCTTAAGAACAATCTGTACATAGCCAGGATAAGGTTATCACACCTAAAATGGTAACATAGCCCCAGAATGTCTTTTTTAACTCAAAAATGTTTCCTTTTAATTCAGGATCCAAAGTCCGCACATTGTGTTTAGTTGTCATGACCCTTTAGTGTCCTAATCTAGAACAGCCCTGTACCCCTTTTCTTTATGACCTTTTTTATTGATTGATTTCAGAGAGATAGAATCATCAGTGATGAGAATCATTGATCAACTGCCTCCTGCACGCCCCCTACTGGGGATCAAGCCCACAACCCAGGCATGTGCCACACCAGGAATTGAATTGTTACCTGATTCAATGCTGAAAACATTGAGCCACACAGGACGGGCATGACTTTTTTGTTTTGTTTTTAAGACCTCTGGTCTTACAAATTGTCCCTTATGGTGGCTTTTCCTCATTATTCCCTCATGATCAGAGTCAGATCATCCATTTTTGGGGAGAATACCACAGAGGTGATGCTAGGTATAATCACTTGATTAAGGTGGTGACTGCCAGATCATTACAATATAGGAGGACAGTTTTCCTTTGGTAACCTGTGGAGATGTTTTGAGAGCATGAATATATCCTGTTTCCCAGGAACCTATCACCTAATGGTTTTATGATCAATTTGTAATCCTTGTCTGAATCACAAGAGTACCAATGACCAGTACCAATCATGTAAGTACCATGTTAGTGATAGAGGCCAAAGACATCAGAAGAATCATTTGCTGTAACTGTTTTTACAGAATTAGAAATTTGGCTTCAGGCCTGATACAAATCTGCATATGATTCTAAAAAAGAAATGGTGGACTTCTCCTCCATCATATCCTGGTTGTCTGCTAATTTCTTTTTAATATTCAGAAATTTCTGGGAATTGCTTGTTCTTCTTTGATATTCACCTGGACATACTAACTACCTGGAAAGATAAGAATATTATATTTGTTTGTTTATTAATCCTTACCCAGGGATATGTATTTATTTTAGAAAGAGAGAGGAAGGGTGGGGGAGAAAGAAACAGGGATGAATTGCCCCATCCCCTCCTGTACACACCCCAACCATAGATCGAACTTGTAACCTTTTGGTGTACAGGACCAACCAACTGAGCCACCTGGCCAGGGCAGACTATGATGTATTTTGTAAATATATATAGTAACATATGCTAAAGACTTGTAACCTCAGAATGAGGAAACTAAATTTCACATATTGAAAAGGAAGAGGCTTTTTTCTTTCTATGTAACATTGTTAGTTTCAGATGTACAATATAATGATTCCATATCTGTATACATTGCAAAATGATCACAATAAACCTAAGGAAGAGGCTTTTTTAAAAATGACTTAGCCAGCAGAAGTTTAGATTTCTCAACTATTAGAGCTTGAAGAGGTCTCCCCAGTCATTGTAATCCCATCATTTTTTCAGATAAGAAATAAGGCCTCACTGGAGACATTCAAGCAAAAGTTGGACAACTACTTTTCCAGAACAGAAAGGAAACTCATGCATCAGAAAAGGTTTGAGCTTGATGACTGATAAGATCTCCCTTTACTTTTAAGTTACCCGGTTTTATGACATATTTGTGTTTGGCAAAAAATAACATTGCTGTATCATTCCTAAAACCTAAGCCAGAGATTCTGGAACTCTTATTCCTTCCCTCCATCTCCAGGTCTCAGGAGTATAATTGAAAGGTAATTTCCTCAGCAGATGTTTGCCTCTATAATAATAAACATTTGCTGTAATATCTGGAAACTAGGACCACATAAAAGGGCAGCCACATTGCTGCTGCCTGTTTTCACTATCAGTGATTTGCTTGGCTTGTTGGAGTTTGTCAATCAGCATAATTTATGATTAACTGCAAAAGAGAAGGCTGACTTTAGAAGACACCAGATAGCAAGTAAATTTGCAAATCAATCACCTTCAGTATTTCCTAGGAACAGTTGCCTACAGTTATGTATACCATAACCTTGATACAGATATACTTCAGAGATTGCAGGTTCAGTTCCAAACCACTGCAATAAGGGAGTCGTAATCTTTTGCTGGTGGAGGGTCTTGCCTTCAATTTGTAAAAAAAATGCAATAAAGCAAAGCACAATAAAAAGTATGCCTTTATTTATGACTACAGAGAAGAGCTTTAGAGATTTAGGCAGACATAAGAAAATTGCTGACTGTTAGCTTGAGGTCAATTGTAGGTCTGGGACAATATTTGAAAAGTTTATAATTGAATGATTCTAGAGAAAAGGAAACCATAATGTTAATTTAGTGGTTTTTGAGTAAAGTATTTCTCTTTTATTTTCCAAATTCTCAAGAACTATATTACATTACTTTTATAATATGATAAAACTTTATTTCATTTTAAGGAGATATATATACTATTAAAAACTTTACATTAAAAGATAATGCCAAGAAGCCCTAGCTGGTTTGGCTCAGTGGATAGAGTGTCAGCCTGTGGACTGAAGGGTCCCAGGTTCGATTCCAGTCAAGGGCACATGCCTGGGTTGCAGGCTCAAACCCAGTAGGCAGCCAGTCACTGATTCTCTCTCATCATTGATGTTTCTATCTCTCTCTCTCCCTTCCTCTCTGAAATCAATAAAAAAATATATTTTTTAAAAAAATATAATGCCAAGGAAATAATTATAAATAAAGAAGATTCATACCAACACCATTGAGGCATTCCATATCTATGTCTTATCAGATAACCATCTTTCGTCACCATGAGTTGTTAGGTATACTAAGGGGCAAGTAGAGGATAGTCAGCAGAGTAATACCAATCTGCTATTATTTTGTTAAGGACATATAGGTCTATTTTATGAGGGATATTTCTCTAGTTTTATGTACTGCCTTTGTCTGGTTTTGATATCAGGATAATAGTAAATTCGTTACACTTTAGACGTCTGCAGGGTCTACGGTGACACAGTTTCATTTCTGATGATAGTCTTTTTAAAGAACCAACTCTGTTTTATTGATTATTGTTTTTTGCTTTTATGTTTTTATTTTTTTTTAAAAGTATGTTTTTATTGATTTTGAGAGAGAGAGAGGGAGAGATTGATGAGCTAGAAACATGGATCAGCTGCCTCCTGCACGCCCTCTACTGTGCATCGAGCTCACAACTGGGCATATGCCCTGACTGGGTATCGAACAGGCAACCTCTCAGTGCATGGAACGATACTCAACCAACTGAGCCACATTAGCCAGGGCCTATGTTTTCATTTTTATTATTTCTGTTCTGTTATTTCTGTCTACATGCTTTGGGTTTATTTTGCTCCTTTTCTAGGTGCTTTAGGTAGGAGTTTTGATCTTTGATTTGAGAGGTTTCTTCTTTTCTAATGTATGAATTTAATGCTATAAATTGTTCTCTTGGCACTGATATAGCTCTGTTAACACAGATTTTGATATGTTGTATTTTCAGTTCATTCAGTTCACTGATTTTTTTCCCCCCTTGAGACTTCCTCTTTGACCCATGAATTATTTAGAAATTTATTGTTTATTTTCCAGATGTTTGGAAATTTGCCTGTTCTCTTTCTGTTAATTATTTCTAGCTTGATGCATCTGTGGTCAGAGAACACACTTAGAATGATTTAAATTATTTTAAATTTGTTGAGGCTAGTTTTATGACCCAGGATATTGGTTCAGTGGGCACTTGATAAAAATGTGCCTTCTGTGGTATTGGGTGAAATGTTCTATAAGTATGGATTGTATCCTCACTAACTTATAGGATATTAAAAAAAAAAAAAAGGAGAAAAGAACAAATGCAAAAGAGTGGAAGATGTATACATGGTTGGAAATACTAGCATGGAATTACCATCAATTATATTCGTTAATCAAATGAGAATGTTATTTTTTTTCCATGATAATAGCACTTTGAGTTTCTTAGTTTCATGAAAAGTCATGCTTTACAGAGCCACTTCAAATAATAATGAGTCAATAAGAATGACTTACACATCCAGTTTATCTTTATTGCATTGGTTATTAGGAAATTCAAGCTAAATATAATGCATAAAAATTCATTTAGTCTACAGTGTACAAGATTGTATTTGCTTCTTTACATGCTGTTTAATTTCTATTTTAAACAATCATATTTTATACAAATCTTTATGTGAGATGTTCTTCCATTTTAGAACTAGCCAGATAGAATAAATAATGTGATACATTCTTATATCTGGATTAACTAAGCCTGGGCCCTCCATTTAGGATATGTGGAAATCCCGGGAATTCAGAAAGGCTTTTGACTTCCTTATCTTCACTTCTCTGTTGCCCCCAAGTTAGATCATAAGTGTCATATGTTTAGAAGTTTCTGTTACAGTTATTGCCCTTTTTGAATTTCAGACTTCACAACTCCTATAACTTCCTTTTAAAGTATATTAGAACTCATTTGGGTTATTGATTTATAAGTTAGGATGGTGTTTGTTAACAACTAATAGTACTCTGCATTTGCATAGAGAAGGTAAAAGGATCATTAGTAGCACAGGTCAAAGTTACATTAGCAACCAATGGAATAGTTAACTTAAGTATTTATAGAAGACAACAGAGATCTCTTGGTTTCCCTTAGAATCCTACTAAGGCCCTAGCTGGTTTGGCTCAGTGGATAGAGTGTCGGCCTTCGGACCAAAGGGTTTCGGGTTCGATTCCAGTCAAGGGCACGTGCCTTGGTTGCAGGCTCCTCCCCAGCCTGAGCCCTGGTCAGGGCTGGTGCAGGAAGCAACTAATCAATGTTTTTCTGTTTCTCTCACATCGATGTTTCTCTCTGTCTTTCCCTCTCTCTTCCACTCTCCCTAAAAGTCAACGGAAAAATATCCTCAGGTGAGGATTAACTAAAAAATAAAAAGTAATTTTCAGATTCCTTTAAAAAAAATCCTACTAGGAATGGAACTTTAATAAGTAGCTTTTCTGCACAGTAGCAGGGCAATTCATCTTAAAACTGAAGATTTAGCCACTCAGTTGTTAGAGTGTAGGCCCTTGGACAGAAGGGTCTCAGGTTCGATTCCCACTCAAGGGCACATACCTGAGTTGCAGATTTCTATCCCCAGCCTGTGCGGGAGGAGACCAATGTGTTTCTCTCTCACATTCATCTTTCTCTCTCTCTTTTTTTCTCCCCCCCCGCCCCCCCGCCCCTTCTACTCTCTCTTAAAATCAATGAAAAAAATATCCTCAGGCGAGTATTAACCAAAAAAAAAAAAAGGTAACCCACTAAAGATTTAGATAGACAGGGTCTTTGGGTCCCACAGGTAATAGCATTAAAAAATCTAATTCTAACTTTATGGTTCTGTTGTCATTAATGATGTGGGAAATTGGGGGAGTGGTGTATAATTACATACATGGTTAGAAATTGATAAAATGTGAATAATGTGGTATTTCAGGTAGACTTGTTTCAGTTCTATTTCATAAACTATTCTTGTTTTGATTACCTAACTCTTCAAGTAGCCTAAAAACATTTATTTGTAGCCCATGTGGCTCAGTTGGTTGAGCATTGTCCTATGTACCAAAAATTCACTGGTTCGATTCCCAAACAGGGCTTATGCCCAGGTTTTGGGCTCGGTCCCCAGTAGGGAGTATACAGGAAGCAGATGATCAAGCGATGTTTCTCACACCAATGTTTCTTTCTCCCTCCCCCTTCCTCTCTCTTTAAAATCAATAAAAAAACATTTTTTAAATAAAATATTTGTTTATAGGTTGACAAACGTTTTTTATTTTTAAATCAGGTGACTAATAAAGGTACTGAAAATATGGCTGCACAAATTCCAGAATCTGATCAGATAAAACAGGTAAGGTATCATAATTAAGAAAAAGGCCTTTGGCAAACAATTTAAGGCACTGTTGAATGCAACCATGTCAGTGATCTCACAAAATAATGGTTTATATTTCATTTCCAAAATTGGATATTAAATGAAGAATATTAATTTTCAGGTAATCCAGGAAAGAATATTCAATGAGAAAATCTGACTATATTTTGTAGCTCATATTACATAGATCATATTATACCCATTTAAGTTAGCAAAAGTTTGATTTCAAATATTACAGGACATTTCACCTAAAATACAAACTTCAGTTAAGTTTCAGAACATTTTTGTTTTAAAAGCCAAATATTAACCAGTGAACTTATATACCTATAGGCATACCCCACGGACAAACAGTAATGCGGGGAAGACCTGGGGAGGGGGCCGGAGCAGGGTGGAGAGAGGGTCATTGTTGTGGGGGAAGGGACTTCTGTAATACTTGCAACAATAAGCAAATTTTTCTAAAACACCAAATATTAACACCTTATTTATGTTTTTTAAAAACACTTTATTTGTTTATAGTTTAAAGAATTTCTTGGAACCTACAATAAACTTACAGAAACCTGCTTTTTGGACTGTGTTAAAGACTTCACAACAAGAGAAGTAAAACCTGAAGAGGTAGGAAAAGTGTACTCACTAAAAATTCTCTAAACTTGTGATCAGCAGCTTAAATGCAATCCCCCTAAGCATTTTGCTTGTTCCTAGTTATTACAGGAATTTTGCCTGCCTTTTATGCTCCATTGCTTGGAGGAACTAAAGCAGCCAAGGACCCATAACATTGAATCTAGTGATGACAAATTTAATATGATAATCACATTGAATCAAGGCAGACTTTTTTAGAGAAGATGCCTGGGGCTTGCTGAATTATTCTTCCATTGCAAAGTCTTAGTAATTAACTTTCAATTAAGATGACCTAGCTAGAGAAACTTGACATGGCTTTTCTATCTGACACTGAGAATTCAGGGTAACTTTGGAAAAACTAGAGCTCGAATTTGGTCGCTCATATTGCATAGACAGACTCTCAAAACCCAATCCTATTAGAAGTTATAACTGTTAATCTGCTCATCAAAACATTTATGTATTGGCTTAAAGTGACATAACTTCTTCCAGTGGAAGAATACTGAAAACATTCATGCCAAGATCTTAACTTTTAACCAGCAATGAATAAGTACTTGTTAAATAAATGACAATGTTTAATAGATGCTAAGTGTAATATTTTTACTGGAAAAAAGTAAAAGGTTGAGAATTAACTTAATATTAAGAATGGAATTTCTCATTAAAAAGAAACAAAGTTGTACTGGGCCTACATTTTAATAATCAGAATAAGGGAATGGGAATGTAGGCTTTCAGTTAATACTAAAACACACCTGCAGAAAATCTAGTCCAGATAGCAGGGACTTACCATTGTTTTTAGTGCCTACAGACCTGTAGGTATCAAAATGTAATACCTCTTGTATTAACAGTTGAAAGCTATGGTCACCTGCTACTTATTAATACCATTTAATTCTCAGGTATATTCAAAGAAAAGTACCTACTGGTTGGTCTTTTAGAATACATGCTTTTTTTTTTTGCTTTTTTTCCCAAATTAGTATTTCTGTATTGCCTCTTCCATCTTCTCTCTTTATTTTATTTCTAGACCACCTGTTCAGAACATTGCTTACAGAAATATTTAAAAATGACGCAAAGAATATCCATGAGATTTCAGGAATATCATATTCAGCAGAATGAAGCCCTGGCAGCCAAAGCAGGACTCCTTGGCCAGCCACGATAGAGACGTCCAGAGGGGTGGACTTTCCCTGAAAAGTTGCCAATAGCTTTGCACTGGAAGTGAGGATTCATCTGATAGAATCCCCTGAAAGCAGTAGTCACCATGTTAACCATCTGTCATGACTGGCAAATGGAAACCACTGGAGAAACAAAATTGCTATTTACCAGGGATAATCAAAATAGAAGGTCTTATTGTCCAATCAAAATGTAAGATACAACATTTGTTGAGGCCTTATGATTCAGGAGCTTAGTCACTTGATTAGAAAAATAAACCATTATTTCTTCAATAGTGACTGTTAATTTTAAAACAAAATCATGAATGAGATAGAAAAAATTTTTATTTCTAAAAGTTAAATAAATGGAAATATCACTGCACAGTTGTTTATGCTATATCATAATATAGTATTCTGACTGGACTGTGGATACGTTGAAGTGTTTTTTCAATCAGGATCATCTTCCAAGTATTCCTGTTCATTCATGTCTGCCTCAAATTGCTGGTAAATACATAAAATAGTTACTAATAATTTCAATGCACAATCCTTTTCTTGCCTCTCCTGTGTCAGGGAGAGCATTACACATTCTTATTCTAGCTACATTTCCATATATTTTCAGGAAACAACCCATCTGAGACTAGCTTGGGAATATTTGAGTTTACTGTTAGGCTCTAGCAGCGGTTCTCAACCTGTGGGTCGCGACCCCTGAAAATACATCCTGCATATCAGATATTTACATTACGATTCATAACAGTAGCAAAATTACAGTTACGAAGTAACAATGAAAATAATTTTATGGTTGGGGGTCACCACAACATGAGGAACTGTGTTAAAGGGTCGCAGCATTAGGAAGGTTGAGAACCACTGCGAGTCTAGTGGAATGTGTTTTGTTCAGAAGCTGAGTCTAACGCGAATGATTCTGAGTCAGACCAACAATACATAGTGTATTCTCAGCCATGTGATCAGTGTAATAAAAAGTGAACCAAAGTTAAAAGTAGTGTCTTATGGCTAAATGAGTCCTAAAATTCAAGCATTTTTAGGAAATTCTAGTTGATCCATAAGCATATCAAGTAGTTTGGTAAATGTAAGTGGACTAATACCTATTAATAATTAGCTTTTGAAAGGATTTCATTTGATATCATTATCAAGTTATGCTTCAGAAAACACTCATTAGCCTATATGTTTAAACTTACCAACGTGATATCTATGTTTTGTCATACTAATGGAAAGTAGAAGTGTTCTGCTTTGATAATTTACTGTTTTCTATGTTACATCTAATTATTAAGCCACTAGGACAGTGGTTCGCAACCTTGGCTGCACATTGAATCACCTGGGAATCTTTTTAAAATCCTGATTTCTGGGCCTCATCCTCCAGAAATTCTGTTTCTTTGTTACTAATGTTGTGGCCTCACCCCATAACAAAGAAACAGAATTTCCAGAGGATGAAGCCCAGAAATCAGGATTTTAAAAAGATTCCCAGGTGATTCTAATGTGCAGCCAAGGTTGAGAACCACTGCACTAGGACATTTAAATAACAATTACCGTTTAACTTAAAGGCCTCCCTTGACAGTACAGTAGGTCAATAACTGTGGTATCTTTGACAGTACAAAGACAAAATGTTAACAATGCTATCTTTAAAACTGAAATGCTGAAACAATTCTCAACAAAATATACAATACATTATAGTCAAAGGAACATGAAAGAATTGGCTTGTTTCACCTTAAGGCAAGAAAGGCAATAAAAAATTCAGATTTTACTCATTTAAAACTTTGGGCCAGTCACACATCTACTTTGCTATTTCTATGTATCCAAGCCCAATTTGTTTATTCTGCCCATTTCACAAAGATAAATAAGTGCTCACCTGGCAAATCAGGGGAATTTTATGTAACAGCATCTCAAATACCTTGGGAGGGAGTGTGTGTTTAAAAACCTTCAGAAGTTCCCGTGGTTGCCCACACATTGAAAGGGCATTGCTGAGATGTTCAACCCCCATTCTGTGCTCTCCTGAAACAAATTGATAAATTCAGAGCAAAATAATAATGTTCTTCAAAGTATACATTATACAAATTACCAAGAAAGCACCAACTATTAAAACTTTAAAAGCCTTTAAAAGGCTGCCCTGGTCAGTGTGGCTCAGTTGCTTGTGTGTCATCCCATGCACCACAAGGTCGAAAGTTGATTCCCAGTCAGGGCACATGCCCAGGTTGTTAGCTCGATCCCCAGTAGGGGGTGTGCTGGAGGCAGCCAATCAATGTTTTTCATTGATGTTTGTCTCCCCCTTTCTCTCTAAAATCAATAAAAACATTTTTAAAAAGATAAAGGCTATGCAAACAAGCCTCATAAAGGATATAAATGTGAGAGGAAATGTTGACCTGCCAGATTCACTGAGGTCAAGCTGAAATATGAATACCTGTAAGAGGTAGGTATTGAGTTTTTTTTTAAAGGTTGTGTTCTGTTATCTTTACATGTGTGGCTGATGAAATTGTAGATAAAACATGTTTTTCTGGCTAAATGATAATTTAAAAAAATCTTTGGGGAGCATTTTTAAAACAAGATTTAGTGTAATGAATTACATATTCAGGGGAAGAAATTAAGAGATTTAAGAACTTTCATCTCTAAAGTTTTAAATTGAGTTTAGGATGATTGGCTATAAAGTAAGGATGAAAATTTGTGAAGAGTAGAAATCAGACTTTAAGTTAGAACATGGACTCAGTCTCACTTCCTTGTTTTGGGGAACTGAGGCAAAGATCAGTGAAATGATTTAAGGTTTCAAAGCTAATTAATGCCAGAATTAGTAACAGAACCTTTTTCCGAACCTTGAGACTACAGTATGCTGCCTCTCTTCTGGTGTTATGTAATAACTAGAGGCCCTGTGCACTCGGCAAGGGGGTGGTGGGGGGTCTCCCTCAGCCTGGCCTGCACCCTCCCGCAGTCTGGGAGCCCTCAGGGGATTTCTGACTGATGGCTTATGCCCGTTCCCCCAGCAGTCAGACATCCTTAGCACTGCCTTGGAGACAGGAGAGGCTCCCGCCACCACCGCTGCACTGCCTGGCTTGTGGCTGAGCAGAGCTCACCCTGTGGGAGCGCACTGACCGCCAGGGGGAAGCTCCTGCATTGAGCGTCTGCCCCCTGGTGATCAGTGGGCATCATAGCGACTGGTCATTCCACAGTTAAGTCAATTTGCATATTAGCTTTTATTATATAGGATACAAGTTGAAATTTTGACAATTAATATATAACTAGTTAGGAAATAAAATATAGTCTGTAGTTAAATATATTAGATTCTTATTAATGGAAATGAATTTTCCATTTCTTGGTTGAACTACATGGTTGTATGAAAAGTGCATAATGGACAGGAAAAAAATGCTCCCCAAAGATGTATATTAAGTTTAAAATATGCCCTGGCTGGTGTGGCTCAGTGGGCATCATCCTGTGTATGGGAAAGGTTGCTGGTTTGATTCCCAGTCAGGGCACTTGCCCAGGTTGTGGGCTCAATCCCTGGTAAGGGGGCATGCAGAAGGCAGCCAATCGATGATCTGCTCTTACATCAGTGTTTCTCCCTCTCTAAAAAGTCAATAGAAATATTTTTAGGCACACATACACACACACCAAAAAATACATATATATGAGAAAGATATGACATAGACAAAGGAAGCCTTATCAATATGTAGATTTTAGGATTTAAGATTTTGTGTCTATAGACACCTAATTTTACATTTTCAATTTAAGAAATCCTCATTGCTGGGTTTTTTGTAACTTCTCTTAGGCATCTGAAGAAGCTATTTCTTGTTCCTGGCTGGGTAGCTCAGTTGGGCAGAGCATTGTCCCAATACACCAAGGTTGTGGGTTCAATCCCGGGTCAGGGTACATACAAGAATCAACCAATGAATACATAAATAAATGGAACAAAAAATTAATGTGTTTTTTTCTCTAAAATCAATAAAGAAGCTATTTCTTAAATGAAGTACTTTGCTGTATGGTTTATTTTAAATTAATACAATTACAGCTTTATGAAAATACCTTAAGTCTAAATGTTTTTAATGTATTGAGCTTTTTTAAAAAAAGGATACAATAGTGCCTGATATTAAGTTGATGGAGCTAATGTGACACAAAAACAATATGATCAGTTAAGTCAACCACTAAATTCAATCAAATCATTGGTTCTATGGTCCCAAACAGACATAACCACAATTGAGATGGCTATAGAACTAGACTACCTGACAACAAAGTCATGAAAATTAGGGTTGGTACAGAGGGGAGTGGAAATAATTGAAAAAGATTACAGAAAACTGGGTGAAAGGTATCGCATTACAATACTAGTTCTCAGTGTTGGATTTATATTGTAATAACCAAGAGGTTTGCCCTAACTGGTTTGGCTCAGTGGATAGAGTGTTGGCCTGCGGACTGAAGGGTCCCAGGTTCGATTCCAGTCAAGGGCATGTACCTTGGTTGTGGGCACATCCCCAGTAGGAGGTGTGCAGGAGGCAGCTGATCGATGTTTCTAACTCTCTATTTCTCTCTGTAAAAAATCAATAAAATATATTTTAAAAAAATAATAACCAGGAGGTTTAACAAATACTGATGCTTGGGTACCACCCCCAGAGATTCTGATTTAATTGGCTTGGGGTTTGATGGATTTAAAGAATAAGCAATCAAGATTGAGAACTGCTTTAAAAGTAAAATACAGTAAAAGTACATAACCCTTAAAGAGCTAATTAACCAATTTAGGGGTTCACAGAATTAATGCTATTACCTTTGAGAGGGAAAAATTTAAATACACAAGTTTGCAATTATTGTTTTAATCAATTTAATATCTAACATTCATCTCAGTCTAAATTAATACATGATAGCTCTTAAACATAGTGAATAAAAATAAAATGTAAAAAATAATTGTTTTTTTCTTTTGGCTTAATATTCAGAATTTTCCTCTCCATATTTATTTTATATTATCCCAATTGAAAAATATTAAAGCTGAAAAGCTCTATTTTAATTGCCCCTTTATTGAGGGAGTATCCATATCTAGGGATTAATCCAGATTTTATGAAGCCCCTAGTTTATATAATTTTGGGGACCCTGTTTAAGAAAATTAAAAAAATTTGCCCTGGCCAGGTTGCCTCAGTGGGTAGAGCATCAGCAGACCAAAGGGTCCCGGGTTTGATTCCAGGTTGCAGGCTCCTCCCCAGCCGGGGCCCTGGTCAGAGCACGTGCAGGAGGCAACAAATTGATGTGTTTCTCTCACATCAATGTTTCTCTGTTTTTCCCTCTTCCACTCTCTCTAAAAATCAATGGAAAAATATCCTCGAGTGAGGATTAAAAAAGAAAATATAAAATTTTGAATACAAAATTGGTAGGACCCTTCCCAGCACCTTCAAAGAGGCCCATGCAAATGAAGGTCCTTAAAACTTACACTTCATTACTTTGTATAAAATCACTCCTGCTTCTACCATTGTCAGTTCTAATTATTCATTTTGTCATTCATATTTAACAGATATTTTTAGTTCATTTATAAACCTATCTACAAATTAGTACTGAATAAAATACTGAAATTTTAAACTATGATTAATGTGCAATGATTTTAAGTGGCCGCAATATTTTTTTTTAATTTCTCAAAACCTTTACCATGTTCTTAAGCCACCGATTAAAGTTAAAATCTTTAGTATTGCTCTGAATTGTCCAGGGTCTTGACTTCCTCTTTCTCTTTATAAATCCTAGAGGATGCTATCCTCATAAATACAGGTTGAAAAACAAAATCTTTTCAAAAAAGACAAAAGAAGCAAAAACAGATACAGGTACTGTGATATGGAGGGGAATTGCTAACACTTGAAAAAAATGACATATAAATGGGTGCAATGCTTGTTTATTGAGCATCATCATTTTTCCCTTAGATAAGGCACAAAAAAATATTTTTCTTTTCAGGGTTCAACACCAGAGTAAAAACATGATCATTATATATACAACTAGAGGCCCGGTGCACCACTGGGGTGCCTCAGCCTGACCTGTGCCCTCTCGCAATCTGGGACCCCTCGGGGATGTTGGACTGCCTGCTGCTCCTGCCTGCCGCCCCTGCTCATCCTAGCCCTGATGCGCCTGCTGCAGGCTCATGCCCAGTCAGTCCATGAGCCCTCCATCTGGCGCCCATTGGTCAGCTGAGCGGCACTCCCTCACTGTGGGAGTGCACTGACCACCAGGGGGCAGCTCCTGCATTGAGCGCCTGCCTCCTGGTGGTCAGTGCTTGTCATAGCAACCAGTCAACTATCAGGTCATTTGGTTGCTTAGGCTTTTATATATATAGATATTTTATACGATACTGATATTATCTACCATCAATTTACCTGACAATATTGTGTTTTCTCTCAAATCTGGAATTGGGTGGGGATAAATTATATTTCAAAAGATAGCTCATGGATATTAAAAGCAAAGTATTCCATACAGGCATCACTACATTAGACAGGACAAGAATGGATAATCATAATGACTTTACCCTAAAAAATAAGTATTTTATAAGAAGGCAGGAAAATGTTTATAAAGCAGTTAAAAACTTTTTTTAAGTTTTGGTTCACACAAGTAACCATTTGGAAAATTCATTTACTTAAATTTTTACCTGATGATAGATGAGGTGTTCTAGCATTTGGCTTTGCTTCTCCATCGGCACTTCCAAGACTGCAACGTAACCTGGAACACTAACTATAACACATTGGAGCTGGCAAGTGGGATGGAGTGACAATGCTGGGACAGTTTCTCTTTAAACTGAAGCACATTGACTAACACAGCTAGCTAGTTAAGTTACTTAACATACATATACTGATCAATAAATGAACAAATTATCATAAAGAACTGCTTACAAAAGAATGTTTATGCTCTTACCTCTAGATAGCCAAAGCTCTCCCACTTGTACTTCGTGCAGAAAAAGTTCCTGCAACTTTTCATTCCTTGCTGGATCCCACTGCTACGATTCACAAAATATTTAACAATGAGTAATGAATCTGAGGGATGTGCTTACTAATCAAAATTATTTAGTTTTTATTTTAAAATGCACTTCTTAAACCTAGTTTCTAAATCCAAAGTATGACAAATGCAGTTATTCTTTATACTATTTAAACCAATTTCTTAAAATGGAATTACTATTTCAGGCCATAAAAAAAAATACACGAGGGGCTGGGTGGTGGGGGGTAAAGGGGAGACATCTGTAATACTGTCAGCAATAAAATAAAATTTAAAAAAAGGGAAAAAATACATGGCATATCCAAATTAGGCTGAGATGCTTGTAATAACTCATCCATATTTTACTTGGCTTACTAAGTACACATATCAGACATCTTACTATAATTAACTATAACAAAGATTACTGTGTATGTTGCCAAACTATTCCCTTGCCTCGGTATTAACATTGCTTGTTGATTGGGAAACAGCCTGGTGGGGAGTTGGCAGCGCCTGGTGTTGGAAGGTTGCTGTGGTTTGCTGCAGCCTGGTGTATGAAGGTGACCAGGGTCACAGGATGCCACATCATTGGAACCATGCCCAGGGCTGGTCTTTAAAGGTAGAGTGAGCACCAGGCTGGCCTGGCTCAGAGGTTGAGCATCCACCTATGAACCAAGAGGTCACGGTTTGATTCCAGTCAAGGGCACATGCCTGGGTTGTGGACTCCATCCCCAGTAGGGGGCGTGCAGGAAGCAGCCCATCAATGATTCTCGCATCACTGATGTTTCTAGTCCTCTCTCCCTCTCCCTTCCTCTCTGAAATAAAAACATACTTAAAAGAAATTGTTTGAAGCAATTGTTCCTACAACGTTTACTGTATAACTGCCTTTCCATAACCCCAAATAGTTCTTCCTTCTTTTTCTTTTGTAAGCGACAATAAAAACTAAGCCTGAACTCCACGTGGGCTCGGAAGTGCCAGCTCAGGAACCAGCCAAGACCCCGATCAGAGCCGGGCCTGCACTGCGGGGAGGTTACTCACTACAACGCCCCCCGGGCGTCGCCAAAGCTCTTCACCTGGGCGCCGGGTCCATCAGCCTTTGGGGGCTGGGCTCTTCTTTCTGCAAAGACAACGTGGCACGTGCTGAACGGAGTCACCCCGACTCCGGTGTGCGCCGCGCGGGCCCCTCCATAGCGGCGGCAGCCCGGCCCCCCCTCGCCCCCGCGGGCCCGCCCGGCCGCCCGGGCCACGCCCCCGCCGCCGTCGCACTCACTGTCCCGCAGGCGGCGCTTGAAGGCGGGGTCGCCACGCCGCTTCCAGTCGAAGTAAACGCAGTAGCCCAGGAAGGCGACGGCGCCACAGGACGCCAGGGCCGCCAGGAGGCCAAAGAGGGTGCGGATGCAGGGCATCCGGCCGCGGGCGTCCCACGAGCGGAGCGTTGGGCGCGGGCCAGCGAGCGCGGGGAGCCCGGCCGGCCGGCAGGGGGCGTCGGCGCGGCGCCCATACCGGCCTCCGGGCTTCCAGGGCTCAGGGCCACAGGTCGAAGCCTCGCACCACCGCTGCTGGCGGACAGGAGGAGGCCAAGGGTCCCAGAGGACCTGGGGGGGAGATCTCACCGCCACCCAGCAACAGAGCTCTGTTCAAACCTAGGTCTGTTACACCAAATTCTGAACCCCATTTACCCAACACACCCCACCCCTGCCCCTGTGCCTACGATGATACCCAATCAGGCAAATCACATTATGTCAGCAATCTGGTTAGCTGGGGAACTGGATCCACTTTAGGACTGTGTTCCCTCACCTGCAAATTTAAGTTGATGCAAAACTTTGGTCGTCATCTCCAGAACTGCTCCGGGAGCTCCTGAGCACTAGCGTACTCCCCAACCTGGTCTCCCTTGTCACCTGAAAGGACCCAGCAGCCCAAAGTACCCAGCCACCTTAGCTCAAAAACTGGAAGAAAGGAATTTTGAAGCAAAAACATTTAGCCTAGAAAAACAAACAAAAAAACCCGTTAATTTGCTGAGCTGACTGACCCTGACAGCTAAAGCTCCTATAGCAAACCCAACTCAGAGAACCATCATCCTTGCTATGCTTTTCTTCCTAATATTTGCCTTATTCAGCAGACACAGCGGAAAGAAGGTAAGGCCTTGCCCCAAATATCAGAGTTTTGAATTTAAACTAAGCCAAAGGGAAAGGTATAAGCTATGTAAGGACCTAAAAAATGAAATAGTTCATCTTTTTTGTTTGGTTATTCAGCTGCTCCTTACGATTTAATGATATTGCTCGAGTGTGCATCGCAAGGTGCTCATCACTGCCGTGACTACAGTTGGGGTTGAGAAGCAGCCCAGGCCCTCACAGTTTGAGTTAGCAGATGTGAGTTGCATATAATTGTTTTCTTGACTGCTATATGTTTTTTCTTCCTATGATGACTCGGTCTTATAGTTGGGAACTCGAGCTATTGTCAAAACCTGATTGTAAACACAAAAACAGAGGACAGCATTGGAATCCAGTGTTACTGGTGATCTTGGAGTTTTGGGTTCAGAATCTTAGTGATGGATTTAGCCTGGTTCCAAAGGATATTTTTCTAGGCTGACTGGTCTTATCTTCTAATAAAACCACTCTATTGCCTTTTTGCCCCTTCCCATCCATTATTTCCAACGAACTCATACTTAATCTCTATGGTACATGGAGAGGGATGGGGCCAGGGAAACTGAAGCAAGGTGGGTGTTCAGGGAATTATTACAGCGATTAAAAATAGATTACTCAAACTGAAATTGCCACAGAGACCATGTGGGAAAGTAACTGAAAAATTTTAAGGCAAGTTTCTATGGTATGTATTTTTCTTCTCAAACATAGACACCACTCTTGCTAATTTGGTGATCAGAATTTCTAAAAAGCTTTGGTCATTTTTCAAATTAAGAAAGCATTAATAATTGTCTCCAAAGCATAGTTCTAAGCTGGATAATAGCTCTTTCTTTTAAACAGCTTTATTGGAATATAACTAATATACAATAAATTGTACATTTTTAAAGTGTACAATTTGATACATTTTGACATATGTATACATCCCTAAAACCATTCCCACAATTAAGATAGTATTCATATCCATCACCCCCAGAATTGTTTAGGCCCCTTTTTAGTCCCTTCTTCCACTCTTCCTCACCTCCTCCACCATCCCCTACTTTCTGTCAATATAGATTAGTTTGTACTTCCTAGATTATTGTATAAATGGAACCACACAATATGTACTCTTTTGTCTGGCTTCTTTCATTCAGCATAATCATTTTGAGAGCCATCCATATTGTTTTATCAGTAGTACATTTTTATTGGTAAGTAGCATTTCATTTTATGGACATACTACAATGTATTTAACCATTCATCTGTTGAGGGACATTGTTTCATGTTTTGCTATTACAAATAAAGCTGTTATAACTATTTGTATACAAGTCCTTATAAGGATAAAATATTTTCCATTCTCAACTCCTAAAGGTGAAATGGCTGCATCATATGGTAGGAGTATTTAGTTTTTAAAGAAATTGTCAATCATCTTTCCAAAATGATTAAACCATTTTGCATTACTACCAACATCATATGAGAGTTCCAGTTCCTCCATATTGTTGCCAACATTTGGTATGGTCAACCTTCTCAATTTTAGCATTTCAGTAGGCATACAGGATTCTCACTGTGGTTTTATCTTGTATTTTCCTAAAGGCTAATAGTGAACACCTTTTTAAAAGTCTTTATTCTTTTAGAGAAGTTTTAGGTGCAGTAGAAAGTATGGAGGGCCCCCATATACCGATCCCACACACACACCCTCCCCTACTACCAACATCACAGAGTGGCACATTTCTTGCAATCAATGAAACTGCACTGACACATCATTATCACCCAAAGTCTATAATTTACATTAGGGTTCACATTTTTTAAAAAAATCTTCACCCAAGGATATTTTTCCATTGATTTTTAGGGAGAGTAGAAGAGAGGGAAAGACAGAGAGAAACATCGATATGAGAGAACCACAATTGGTTGCCTCCTACAGGAGCCCCGGCCAGGACCAGGGCCCAAGTCAGGAGGAGCCTGAATCCAAGATACATGCCCTTGACCAGAATTGAACCTGGGACCCTTTGGTCGACACTCTATCCACTGAGCCAAACTGGCTAGGGCCATTAGGGTTCACTCGATGTTATGCAAATATATGACTAGAGACCTGGTGCACGAAATTCGTGCACAGCTAGGGTCCCTAGGCCTGGCCAGCGATCAGGGCCAATCGGGACCTTCCGGCTGCCAGCCTATGCCTTCCGGCCGCTGGCTGGGACCTTCCTTCCCCGGCCAGGGCCTTTCTTCATTCTGCACTGCCCCATGATGGTCAGTGCACATCATAGCGAGTGATCAAACTCCGGGTCAAGCTCCTGAGGAGACACTTTGCATATTAGCCTTTTATATATATAGATTTTGACCAAGGTATAATTACATATACCCATCAGAATAACATTGTGCAGAAGTTTTACTCTGCTACATCTATCCAATCTCTCCCTCTCCCAACCCCTGACCTTTATACCGTAACCATAACTTTGCCTTTTCCAGAATGTTGTATGGAGTCTTTTCAGATTGGCGTCTTTCACTTAGTAATATGTGTTTAAGTCCCTTCATGTCTTCTCTTGACTTAATAGTTTATTTCTCTTAGTGGTAATATCCTGTTGTCTAGATGTACCAGTTTTTTCATTCACTTACTGAAGGGACATCTTGGTTGCTTCCAAGTTTTGGTAACTATGAATAAAGCTGCTGTAAACATCTGTGTGTAGGTTTTTGTGTAGACACACGTTTTCAACTCATTTCAATATATATACTAAGGATCATGATTGCTGGATCATATTCTAAGAGTATGTTTAGTTTTGTAAAAAAATATAGCCACACTGCCTTTCAAATTGATGTGCTTTTTGCATTCCACTAGCAGTAAGAGTTGTTCTTCCACATTCTCACCAGGACTTGGTATTACCAGTGTTTTTGAATTTTTGCATTCTAATAGGCATGTAGTGGTATGTTTTAATCTACAATTCCCTGATGACATATGATGTAGACCATCTTTTCACATACTTACTTGCCATCTGTCTATCTTCTTGGTGAAGTGTCTGTCTTTGGCCCATTTTTAAATTGTATTATTTCTTATTGTTGCATTTAGAATTTTTGTGTGTGTGTGTATTTTGGATAATAGCATGCTATGGTCTGAATGTTTGTCTCCCCCCACCCCCAATTTCCATGATGGTATTAGGAGGGGGAGCTTTTTAGAGATGATTACATCATGAGGGTGGAGCCCTCATGATTGAGATTAGTGCCCTTTGAAAAGAGCCCTTCAGAGCTCCCTAGCCCAGTGGTCGGCAAACTCATTAGTCAACAGAGCCAAATATTAACAGTACAACGATTGAAATTTCTTTTGAGAGCCAAATTTTTTAAACTTAAACTATATACGTAGGTACCTTGTTACTAACTTAATTAGGGTACTCCTAAGGCTTAGGAAGAGCCACACTCAAGGGGCCAAAGAGCCGACTGTGGCTTGCGAGCCGCAGTTTGCCGACCATGGCCCTAGCTCCTTCTCCCTCAGAAGGCCCTGACCTGACCATGTCGGCACCTTGATCTGACCTTCCCACCCTGCAGAACTATGAAAAATATTTTTTTATAAACCCCCCAGTTTATGGTATTTTTGTTAGAGCAGCCCAAAGAGACTAAAAAATAATCAGATTTTTTATATTTTTTCTTGTTTATGGCTTGTCTTCTCATTCTCTTGATAAACACTAGAAGTGCTTATTTGCCATCATTATGTCTTCTTTGGTGAAGTGTATATTCAAATCTTGGTAAAAAGAACTATTAAATAAGGATCATTAGTAAATAAATAAACAAACAAACAATTCAAAAGTAATTTTTCTCACCATAAGTAAACAGTTGTCGTTTTTGGTGTGTATGTATTTTTTAATCCTCACTAGAGGATATATTTTTTTCCCATTGATTTTTAGAGAGAGTGGGAAGGGGGGGGACACATCAATTGATTGCCTCCTGTATGGGCCAGGGGGCCAGGGATCAAGCCTGCAACTGAGGTATGTGCCCTTAACCAGATTCTAAACCAAGTTCTTCAGTGCTCAGGCTGACACTCTAACCACTTAGCAGAACTGGCTAGGGTGGTAAACAAGTTTTTGACATTTTTACTATGTGTTAGATGCTGGACCAGACACTTTGTGGGATACAACTGTGACTAAGGAGGACATAAGAAACTAAACATCTAGTCTATAATAATAAAAGTATAATACGCTAATTAGACTGGACAGCCAAATGACCTTCCAGACGAAGCAGTGGTGGCGGGGGCCGAGGCAGAAGCGGTTAGGAGTGATCAGGCAGGCAGGAGAGCAGTTAGGGGTGATCAGGCAGGCAGGTAAGTGAGTGGTTAGGGGTGATGAGGCAGGCAGGCGAGTAGTCAGGGGTGATGAGGCAGGCAGGCAGAGTGGTTAGGGGCAATCAGGCAGGCAGACAAGTGGTTAGAGGTGATCAGGCAGGCAGGTGAGCAGTTAGGGGCATCAGGCAGGCAGGCAGGCAGGCAGGCGAGCAGTTAGGGGCATCAAGCAGGCAGGCAGAATGGTTAGGGATGATCAGGCAGGCAGGCAGAGGCAGTTAGGGACAATCAGACAGGCAGGCAAGCAGTTAGGGGCGATGAGGCA